AAGAGACTTTAAAGAAGTAAAGTCTCTTAATAAATGGAAACATATACCATGTTAGTGGTAATGCTAATAATATAAAATGAAATTGATCTAAAGATTCAATGAAATTGCCATCCAAATTCCTAATGGGTTTTCCATTAAATTTGGTAAAATTATTAAAATTTGTATATGAAAAGATAGAAGATCAAGGGTAGTGGCCAGGTGTGGTGTCTCATGTCTATAATCCCAGCACTTTGGGAGACCGAGGCGGGTGGGCCACCTGAGGTCAGGAGTTCAGGACCAGCCTGACCAATAAGGTGAAACCCCATCTCTACTAAAAATAAAAAAATTAGCCAGGTGTAGTGGTGGACACCTGTAAACCCAGCTACTCCAGAGGCTGAGGCAGGGGAATTGCTTGAACCTGGGAGACAGAGGTTGCGGTAAGCCAAGATTACGCCATTGCAGGTAACAAAGGGAGACTCTGTCTCAATAAACAAAAAAAGCATAGCAAGGCTTCTTCTAAAGAAGAGCTAGAGTACCAGACTACTAGATACTAGGAATATTATGAGGCTTTACAACAGTGTGGTATTGGCACAGGAATAAACAAATGACTGGTGCAACAGAACAAAGATTCATACATGTATGAAGCACTGGTATATGACAAAAGTAGGATGATAATCAACAGCAAAAGGTGGAATTATTTAATAAATAGACCTGGGAGAAAATGGTTATCTCTATGGAAAAGATAAAATCAGAGCCATATCTCATATCATATAAAACAAAAGTTCTTAATAGAAAACACAGATTAACGTAGATCTTGTAGTAGGAAACTGATTTCTTAAAATGCAGAAAATGTTGGTTATTTTAAAAAGGTTGACATGTTTGAATATATAAAAATTAAGGTCTGGCATGGTGGCTCATGCCTGTAATAATCCCAGCACTTTGGGAGGCTGAAGGGGGAGAACTGCTTGAGCCCAGGAGTTTGAGACCAACTTAGGAAAAACAGCAAGATCCTATCCCTACAGAAAAAAAAAAAAAAAAAAAGGAAAAAGAAGAAAAAAAGAAAATTAGCCTGGTGTGATGGCATACACCTGTAATCCCAGCTACTTGGGAGGCTGAGGCAGGAGGATCGCTTGAGCCAGGAGTTCAAGGATAGAGTCAGCTATGATCACGCTACTGCATTGCAGCCTGGACAACAGAGTGAGAGCCAGTCTCAAAAAATAAAACAAAATATTTTGTTTATCAAAAAGATAACAGTGAAAAGACAAGTTAAAAACTGGGAGAAGATATTCATAATGTAATGGCAAAAAATCAGTATGAGGAATAACTCTCCTGAATAATTTATTTAACTAGAAATTGACAGCATGTGGCTGTACTGCTTTCTTCCAATTTTTCATTATGAAATAGATCGTACATCAAATATATGTATGTGTCACACACATACACACACACACACACACACACACACTCTTCCAATCTATATCAATTATTTAAAGAAAGTTTAAGAAATAAAATATGACTGTAGAAGTAACTACTGTTTAAGAATAGATATAATCCCCCTTTTAAAAGACACAAGAGAATTGTATTTCCCGTACCCCAAGTTATATTACTTGCTCTTGGTAAATAAAATGTAAGTAGGAGTGACACCTGTCATTTACTGATGAAAGCATTTAATTGCCCATGTTCAATTTTCAATCTGCTTTTCTTCCTACCATGGTGAACTCCTACATGACAGCACCAAAAGATGGAGTGACCGTGGAACATAGTCACCTGCCAAACCCACATTAAACATGAAACTAGAGTGAAAACCAAATCTTTATTTTAAACAATTGACATATTAGGGGTATTTGTTACTTTAGCTTAACTTGCCTTAACCTGATTTCATAATTATCAATACCTCTGAAATTCCCTATATATTTGCCTCTCCCTGATCACATTTCCTTGCCTCCCCACCATATACAATCATACGTCACTTAACAATGGGATACATTCTGACAAATGTGTTGTTAGGCAATTTTGTCCCTGTGCAAACATCAGAGAGTGTTATGTACACAAACCTAGATGGCATAGGCTACTATATACTTAGGCTATATGGTACACCCTTTTGCTCCTAAGCTCCAAACCTGTACAGTATGTCATTATACTGAAGACTGCAGGCAATTATAACAATGTTATTTGTGTATCTAAACATGGAAAAAGTATAGTAAAAACTGAGTATTACAATATTATCAGATCACCACTGTATATGTGGTCCACTGCTAACTGAAATACTGTTATAGAGTGCATGACTGTATATATTATACATACAGCTGACCCTTGGTATATGAGGATAATTGGTTCCAGGATCCTCAGGTATACCAAAATCGATGTATACTCAAGTCCCACAGTTGGCATTGTGAAAACCACATATACTAAAAGTTGGCCCTCCATATACTCAGGTTTTGCATCCCCCAAATACTACATTTTTTAAATGCACATTTGTGTGTAAGTGAACCCTCACAGTTCAAACCTGTGTTGCTTAAGGGCCAAGTGTAATTAGATATACTGTATTAACAAACATGTTAATGCACGTGGCTAGAGTTAATATTAATATATTCCCACCAACTGTACAGTAGCCTACTAGATGAGTATACCACAATTTATTTATCCATTCTCTTACTAATGAACACTTTGGTTGTTTCCAACTTCTTAATATTATAAACAAGACTATTAACAACATTCTTGACCATGTTCCTCAATGCACACACAGGGGTCTTCAGAGTACTATTGTCCTTATTTTTGCTGGCAACCAACTTCATCTTCCCAGATTATTCAATATATTTTTAAGGACAGAGAACAGCTAGAAGTGGCCTTAAAATTAAAGAACCAAATCTTCTAATTTTACAAATAAGGAATCCATAGTGAAAAGATTTAGAGGCAGAGCTGGGAGTTCTATATGCCAATCACTGTGTTGGGCTATGAGAAAACAATGATGTTAACATATTTTCCGTGCTCGAGGTGGTCACAAACTAGTGATTGGTTTCCACACTCTACAGTGGGCCTTGAAGTTCAGGTCCTTACCATCTTCCATCTACCTCCAATTGCAGAGATATTTCAAAACAGACTTCTACATAATGAATATACTGTTTAATTTAGATTTTTATATTAAGTTGTATTTACCCTGGAAAATGCACCTCTGCTAACACACAACCTTTGTGAAATCTTCCCAAGCTCCATCCAATCCTCAGCAGAGTGAGTTTCCTCCTGTCTCTGAAACAAGCTCTTGTAATATCCACTATCACATAATTTTATGATTTGTCTTCTCATGAGACCACTGGAGTCAGACTAGAGGTCAGGGCACTTGTAGCCGGTACATCAGAATAAGTGAATGGATGGTGAAAACACAGAGTAAAAGAATTTGATTATATCAAGCAACACAGAGTCAATTAACCACATGGTGTGGTATAACCTTTATGATAGTTTTTAAAGTCCCCTGGACTAGTCAAAATGTCCCCAGTAGATACAATCTACATTGGCCCTATCGTACTAATGTACTTCTTTTATCACTTGTCTGCCCTAGATTATTCTCACATCTATGCTAAAAATGTAAAAGCTACCAGATCAACATCCAATTCCCCCACAAACACTAAATAAAAGATTTCATTTTCTTTCAAAATAAAGTATTTGAATTAAGGTACCAAGAGTGATGTAAACTTGTCACAGAAATTGTGTGCACTACCAGGATAGCCATACAGATCATTGCGAAATTTCAACCACAAGCAAAGTGCAACTAATATTACTAAGTCTTCCATAAACAATCAGCAATTCCTTCATCAAAAACAACTGTACAAGCCCATTCAATTATTACTCTATAAAGCCAGAGATAGAAGCACAAGATTAGCTTACTCCATAGTCAGTAGGACTGTATGTATATAAACAAATCAAGTCTTCACATCTACCCTCTCAAAGACCCTTTTGGTTTGCTGATTCTCAAAAATTGGGAAGAACTGCAAAAATCATCAGGCAACCAGTGTAACACTCCCGGTGAATTGTGAAAAGTACTGATTTTTTGCCTTTATTCAGATGCCTGTGATTTTTTTTTTCCCAATCTGCTTCTATAAATTTATCACAATTCTGATACGGTGTGCGCCCTTCCTCCTTCTTTTACCCTGACCCTAACCTTCCAGCCGTAGATGCGTGCAGCAATCCTCCCTAATGGAGACACCACGGCTATAGGCGCACTACCTCTCCCAAGTCCCATTCCCTTCAGAAGGAAAGAGTCAAATCCCTGCAGTGTATTCCTGGGCCCTCTTTCCTAAGAGATGATCCCAGTCCTCCGGCTTGCCCCTCCTGCCGTGGCTCCCAGTACTTCCACCTGAGAAATCTCTTCAATCCAGTCCACACTTAACAGCGCCTTCCGCTAACACAAACTTAACCACTTCCACGCCCCCTTCCCTCGCCAACGCTGCATCCCCGTCCCTTCCCCTTAAAACCCAAGAGTTTAATCACTGCAAACCCATCTTGTTACCTTTAGTCTGCTTTAGTCTCCTCAGCTCCTCCTCAGAGAAGCCTGCCCAACCCTGTGCCATCGGCCTGGGACACCGGCACCCCCAAAAGTGCCCAAATCTCAGAGCCCTGACTGCCAACACTGCTAACCAGCGCATCCGGGTTTTTCCTCGGCCGCGGCGAATCAGCCAATCAGTGCGTCGGACTCCAAACACAGGGTCCTCTCTCTCCGGGCCTCAGGGTCCGGCTCCCTTCCTGGCTGCCTTCGGCAGTGCCTGACAAACTGCCCAAGGAAAACTTTCCCTTGGCTTGCATCTGCTTGCTCTCCCTCTCTCGTTGTGTCTCACTGTTACTGGTTAATCGCTTCAGAAGCTAAAGGGGGAAACGGCGATGGGGATGAGGGTGGAGATAAACAGGTATTTGGGAAGGGGCTACGAGTCGGTGGTGGAAACGGGAGCGCAAAGTGCCTTTGGGGTCCTGTGCCTGTGGGGCGGGAGCAGCGCGCTGTGTGACTCTTAGTTTGCCCGGAAGTCCGAGTGTTGGGCTGGAAGTGTGCAGTGCGCTGAAGGCGTCTTTCAGACTGACCCAAGGAAATGATAAGATTTAGGATTTTGAGGATGAAGAAACATTGAAAAGGAGTGGGGTATAATGAACGAGAAGGGAACAGGCATAACCAGGTCTCTCGCAGGCCGGTGCGTCTCTCAGATTTCTTTTGCTTGTGGGTTGTTTCCTTTGTGAATGATTCTAATATGTAACCTTTCTCCTAAGGGATTTTATTATATTTATCATTATTATTATTATGTTTTTGAGACGGAGTTTCTCTCCTGTTGCCCCAACTGGAGTGCAGTGGCGCTCTCTCGGCTCACCGCAGCTTCCGCCTCCCGGGTTCAGGTGATTCACCTGCCTCAGCCTCCCGAGTAGCTGGGATTACAGGAGCGCGCCACCACGCCTGGCTAAATTTTGTATTTTAAGTGGAAACGGGGTTTCACCGGTTTAGCCAGGCTGGTCTCGCACTCCTAACCCCAGTTAATTCGCCCGCCTCGACCTCCCAAAGTGCTGGGATTACTGGTGTTAGCCACCGCGCCCGAACGGGATTTCATAAATGTCGCCCCTTTAAATCTATTTAGAGAAGACATTGTAAAATGTCGGCGCTGGGGGATGGGAAAGCATTTCTTAGTATCCTGCAGGGAGTCCTAATACAGTAGTTCGGGTTCTGCCTTGAACATTAACCTCTCTGAGATCCCATTTTCTCATTTGAAGTAGGGTTGCAAAGATTAAAAGATGCAAGCGTTGTCAAAATGCACGTAGATCAGGATGATTTAAAAGAGACCTAATTATTCTATTTTTCATGGTTCTCTTTCACTATTTTTGCAATAAGAACAACAGAACACCTCATCTTGGCTTACATTTTAAAATACTTTTGGCTTTAGTGTGTTGATATTTTTAAACAAAATGAAAGGAATAAAGTGCAAAATGAAACACCACGTCAAGAAAAAAGTTGAAATGAGTACTTAAGGTTTAGTAAGTGATAAAAAAGTGAAGGATGTTTGGAATTTCCTATGTACATCTGAGCTTTTAAACTTAAAGTGGTTTCTGAAATTTGGGGATGCTGCAGATGCTTCATTTTAAATGCGTACTCATTTTTCATAACATTAAACAATTAAAATGCCATCCAAAAGGACTGGAGAAGGCGGTTCCCTCCAGTTTCTGAACATAGACTAAATACATTCAAGTTATAGATTATCTAGCTCCAAAGTAGTAGATGGGGATCAGTGGCAATCTGGTAGTTAATTTAGTTTCCCATTTTCAGGCAACTGCCGTCTAATTTATCTAATAACAAACCACCTTGTGCGCCCCATGTTGAATTTTATGCATAAATGTTCTTTAGTTCACTCTAGGGGAATTTCAAAAATTATCTGTGATCGTAATAGAGATGTAAATTAGGATATTTTAAAAGGTCTTGCATTGGTCCTTAATGAGAACCAAAGCAAGAGTGACATAGTAAAATATAATAAAATCCATCTGTATAAAGTTAAAATTTTCAGTTTGCTAGGTTCTGAATCTCCTGTTTGTTGTTTCTGTTGGCTCTCCCTCATGGTGGCTGGTTTCTTCAAATGATGTGTAATATTTGAGTGGAATTTGTCTTCAAAGTTCTTTGTTCTGCAGAAACCTTCTCTTCCCTGGGTTGACAAAGTATCTCTACAGATTGGTTTTTTTGGTCCTAAAATTTTCGTTGTTTTAAACCAGATTTATGCTAATTTTTTTCAGCTGCTACTGTAAATTTGGATCTTGGGCCCCACCCCCATATGCGACACAGGACTCAGGTGTCAGTTTTTAAAGTGCCTTTATATATATACAAATTATGCACAACTTTATTTCAACAATGTCTTCAAATATGTGTATGAATCCCAGTCCTTAGGATCTATATTTAGTTAGAATCCCTGTTTCTACATGTCTTTAGCTTTCTTTTAAGTTCTATGATGTATTTTTTGATTATGTAAATTAAAACATAATAATAGTAATATTACAGATAACAAGCGTCCTTACTGCTTTTCCAAAGCAACAGTCTTAAGTTTTTTTGTTTTAAAGACAGGGTCTCACCCTGTTACCTAAGCTGGAGTGCAGTGGAATGGTCTTGGCTCACTACAATCTCTATCTTCAGGGCTCAAGGGATCCTCCCACTTCTTAGCCTCCACAGTAGCTGGGGCTATAGGCACTCACTACCATGTCTGGCTAATTTTTACATATTTTTTTGGTAGAGATGAGGTTTTGCCATGTTGCCCAGGCTGGTCTTGAATTCCCGAGCTCAAGCATTTTGCCCAACTGGGTCTCCACGTGCTGAGATTACAAGCATGAGCCACTGTGCCTAGAGTTTTTTTAATCTTCTGTGATCACATGGTCTATGTTTTCTAGACTCTCAGCTTTATTTCACAATCTTGTATTCAAATTATGTGTAGGAATCCCAATCCCCAGGACTTATTTCTAGGTAGAGACCCCTCTTTCTACATCTTCTTTGCTTTCTTTTTTTAAGCTCTATCATATATATTTTTTGTTTAAATAAATAAGAACATGTTATACAGTATTTGGCATTTTTATGTGTTTGTGGAAGGGGACCATCTATGACAATCTATGTGATAATATTTCCAGTTGATTCGCCATCAGAGCGACTAGAGTAAAAATTAAAACTAATCATGCCTGTAGCCTGGTCGAAACTGTAAAATGCCTTCCCAGCACACTTTGAATAAAATCCCAGTTCCTGCATGATCCTACATGATCTGACCCCTGTCTACCTCTCTTATGTGATCATTAGGCTGTCTTTCCCTTTACTCTGCACTCCCTATAATCCAGCCAAATTGGCATTCTTTGGGGTTTTAGAATACACTAGACTCTTCTACTACTCCCTGCCCCACTGCCTAATCAGGGTGTTCCCAAATGCTGTCCTTTAATTATTATCTTTCCCTTGTCTGGCTGGCTCTTCCTGCTTCTTTACATTTTGGCCAAAAATATTCACATAGATATTCTTTGACCACCCTGTCTAAGTAGCACCTGCCCATTTCTATGTTCTTTATAACTTTTACAGCACTGATTAAAATTTCTCATCTCTTCTGTCTACAGACTGAGCTCCCTACTTTACCAGCATTTATCTTGGAATGTAAAGTGACCTATCTCCTTTCCTTATATGTACTGCCAGTTGCCTCTCTTCCTTTCCTGTCCCCCTCCTTTGCCTGACTCTTCATTTCTACCTGAGACTTGGGGATATAGGACTGCCTTTCTGACTTACCCAGGATCTGTAAGTAAAAATCTTTGAACTTACTTCTTATTGTGGTGGCGTATTGAATTTGTGCCTTCCATCTGAAGAACAAGGGGCTATCCCAGACCAAATTTTGCCCCAGAGAAACACAGATTGGACTCCCAGTGCCAGATCAGCGGTCAGAAAGGCATAGAGTGGATGTGGGTTGACAAGAGCCACAGTGGTGTCTGCCAGTATAAACAACATTCCCCTGTGAGGGCCCCTCTGGTTGTGGGTCAGACAACTAGGCTGCCCATCAGGTAAAAGAAGTATCCCATGAAAGGCACTCTGTAAACACCTATATCTAGTTTCCATTCATTTCTTGTAAGGTCAGGGTTGCAAGCCACTATGGTACTACAACCCCAGTTTAGCTCTGGACTCTCAAAACAATAGGTCTTGGACATCTGTCAGATTTATTGTAAGTAATTAATAACATGATGCTATTATAAATAGTGTTATATTTAATTTCAATTTTTTATTAGTTTGTTGTTTATACCTGCTACAGTCTTAATTTTGGTATACTTCATAAAATTCATATTCTGGAACTTAATCCTCATGTGACAGTATTAATAGGTAGGGCCTTTAGAAGGTAATTAGATCATGACAGCCCTGCTCTCACGATGGGCATGGTATTAGTGCCCTTATAAAAGAAGCTTGAGGGAGTCTGCTTGCTCCTTTCATGTGAAAATGCAACATCAAGATTCCATCTCTGAAGCAGAGAGCAAGCCGTTACCACACACCAAATCTGCCAACACTTTGGTCTTGAACTCCCCAGCCACTAGAACTGAACAATAAATTTCTGTTGTTTGTAAATTATCTAGTCCAAGATATTTAGTTACAGTAGCCAAATGAACTAAGACAATATAGAAATAAAATGGAATCATATTGTTGACCTTGCATCCTCTAACCATGATAAACACATTTATTAGTTGTAATAGCATTTTTTGGTGGATTGCATTGGATTTTCTACATAGACAATCATGTCTTCAAATAAAGATTTTTACATCTTTTCTTTTTTTCTAACCTAGTTGTTTTTTTTTTTGTTTTGTTTTTTTTTCCGGACGGAGTCTTGCTATGTCGCCAGGCTGGAGTGCAGTGGCGCAATCTCGGCTCACTGCAACCTCTGCCCCCTGGGTTCAAGCAATTCTTCCACCTCAGCCTCCTGAGTAGCTGGGACTACAGGCGCGTGCCACCACACCCGGCCCCCTAGTTGCTTTTTATTTCCTTTTTTGCCTTATTGCACTGGCTAGACCGACCAGTACAATGTTGAAAAGAAGAAGCGAGATCATATACCCTGACTTGATTCTGATCACAAGGGGAAAAACGTGAAGTCTTTCACCATTAAGTGTGATGTTAACTTCAGATTTTTTATTAATGCCCTTTATCAGCTTATGAAATTCCTGTTTCTTGTTTTCCGAGAACGTTTCTCAGAACGGATAATAGATTCTGATGCATGCTTTCTTTGAGTCTATTGAGGTGATCATATGATTTATCTCTTTCAGATGGTTAATATAGTCAGTTGCATTGAATGGCCACTGTTACACCAATTTTGTATTTCTGGGATAAACTCCACTTAGACATGATATATTATCCTTTTTATATGTTGTTGGGTTTCATTGTATTTTATTTAGAAATTTTACGTGTTCATGAGGGATATCTTTGTAGTTCTGTTTTTTGTAATGTCTTTGTCTGGTTTGGGATCAGGGTAATACTCTGATGCTATAAGTTGAGAAATAGTCTCTCAAATTTTTTGGCAGGCTGTACCATTGATGTAGAATTTACCAGAGAAGTCATTTGGAGTTTCCTTTGTGGGAAAGTTTTAATTCAAATTTAATAACTTTAATAGTACAGGGCTATTCACATAATCTTCTTGTGTGACTTTGGTGTTTTTTCTCTTATTTG